CCATCGGAAGCCAACAGTTTTTGGTATCTCTAGAACTCCTTGTGAAAGAATTCGTCAACTCACCTATTTTTGCCACCAAGCCGAAATGTGGCCATTACTGCATTCTGGTTTTGAAGGTTAAGGATGCTGGTGAAATCATACGCATGAAGGAAATAGAATAATACCACTGCATATAAAGCAATCAATAAATGTATTTCGTAATTTAAAGCAAGATTAATTAACACTATGCCACTGACATTTGTAATTTGACATATTTTACAAAGCAATAATTTATTACATAGCCATCACTATACATAGAAATATATCTATAAACATTATACCTACATATATATATGAGTGGAGCTCTGAATAGGTGTTGCCTCGATCGGAGTCGATTAAGGAATGCCTGCCGTCTGGCCACACAAGGGTATTTATAGTCGTGAACAAACACGTGGCGTAGTGGTCGAACGAATGTCGGACAAACAACTTTGTTTTTTTGTAAAATTATGAATTATAAGTTGATCTCCCACACGCATGTGGGACTTGTCAACTTATCTAACTGCCTCTGTGGCCGAACGGTTACCATGCCGGACTGCCACGCAAAGGTCCCAGGTTGGATTCCCGGGCCGGGAGAAATATTTTGTATGGCCTACATCATTTGTCTCGTGAGTTTGGGTGTAATTTGTGGTTGTCTATGTTGTCCATGGCACCCATGACACAGTGATATCAAATCTCACATGACAGAATATCTTATTTTGTATTTAAACCCCACACGAAGTTAACACTACGACGAACACGTCTGGCAGACTCAGCACAACCGATGCGTGAGGCGCGATATGTGAGAATTTAACACAAGCCTTCTTTACCGAAGCGTTACTGCTTGGTGAGTGATGTGAGCGTATAAGGCGAAGTTAACTTAAAACTTGGCAATATATCTTGTTTCTCCTTCTATAGCATATGATTTATATGTCGATTTTGAGAAAGAAAAAAATCCCAAATTCACCATTAAACTTCTGCTGATTGTACAGTTTCAAAGCTTGCGTGTTGCAGATTACTCTAGTTACATATTAATGTTAAGCTTTAAAGGACAAGTTACTAATTACCTCCACTGTGACCTTTGAAAGTTACACTTAAGAAATAAGAAAAAGAATGGCCCAAGTATGGAACCTTGTAGGACACCTATTTTTACTAAACATCCTTATATTCTGTTATTTTCGAATTCATCATCTGTTAAGGTATATATTAACCTTATAATTACTCCAAAAATAATAATATACCGATATTCTCAGTTCACGGCGAATACATTTCGAAATCACGTACATGATGCCTGCAAAAAGTAACAATCCGTGTAAGCTTATGAATATAAAAGTTTGTTAATATAGGTACCTACAGTAAATATGAATATATTTTACTCAGTTCTATAATAATACGGAGCACTAATTGATACCCAATGTCATGTTAATCTTTCACCATTTGTATTATTGAATACTAATATTCTAAGTTTCATCTTTGTAACACTTTGTTAAAATACTTTTTTATCTTACCACTTGCTTATACCTTACCTATTTCTGCACCTAAGCAGTAATGTGAGCATTACTGCGTACCGGTTTTGAAGGGTAAGGGTGCTGGTGACATTACAGATACATGGGACTTGTTAATTTATGTCTCAGGGTAACGGACGTTCAGTGACAGTGTTTTTAAGAATTTTTTCACAAGGAGCGCTGTTGCTACTAAAAAATTCTAGCTGTTCTTGGCTGCTCTGGGAGTGGAATCTGCAATTTTCTTGCTTGTGAGTCCACGTAGATCGCATTCCATGTTAGTTGTTTGCCAAATTTCCATTGACGTTTATATAAAGTTTGCAATGTAAAGTTTCTTTCAGAATGCACTCAAAACGCCGAGTTAGCCGTCATAATAATTGCACATCTCTCAAACCCCTTTTAATAATTGTAGCGAAACACGTATATAGAATAGAATAGAAATGTATAATATCGTGCTTGCTAAATCGACTACCAACCAAAGTTGTTTATATTCCTCACCGCAAATCACGTTTCGGACAGAAGACAAACAAATTGACCAACTACGTCGTCACGTGACAGCTTTGGTACAGAAGCTTTGGTATAGAAGCTCCGCAATTTTGAAACGGGTCGACGGACGCGTAAAAACTGTGATGTTCATCTTAAACAGGGTGAAATTGAATTTACTCGACAATTCCACATAAGGTTTAGCTATATGTACAGTAGTGTTGTTAAAGGGAATTGTGAAATCAGATCAGATACAGAAGATTCTAAGAAGAGATAAAATTATCCACGTAAAATTTGGAAGACATTATGATATCGATGACTTTATCGAGTTCTTAGGTTTTCGCGATTGTTACACATAGGAAATGAAACTATTTTTCCGTCCGTTGAAGACTGTACTACCTCAGTCAACCGTGACCATGGGACCTGTAAAGGGCCCAAAGCGTCGGTTTGTTTGAAAAAACAAATATATGCGATTTAAATCCGGAAAAATAGTTTCATTTCCTATCGATGACTTTAATTATGTTAGCCTACAATATGATGATGATCATATTGTAGGCTAACATATATAAGGCTAGGCATATTGTATTGTGTGATGATCGAGAAGAAGAAGAAAGACGCTCTGGCAATGTGGTGCTGGAGAAGAATGCTTGGGATATCGTGGACAGACTTTCGTTCAAACGCCTCTATGCTCCAAGAACTCGGCATCAGGCAGCGTCTTTCTACTGTGGTTCAAACTTCGGTCGTGTCTCAAGACGGAATTTTGACTCCATAAGCGTCTTGTTGTACAAGGCAGATGGAGGGCACTAGATTGCGCGGAAGGTCACCCATTCGATGGACCGATCAAATAGAATCTGTAGTGGGCGGTCCTTTACATGAGTGCACGAGGGAGTCCACCAACAGACAGAGATGGCGAGATGTCGTGAGGCAAGCCACATCAGCCGTTAACAAACGTGATGACCACGGCCACTCTGTCAAGAGTGATACGAAAGAGAAGAGATAATATGATTAATAGTTTACACGAAATGGTTGCTGCAATAATAAACCTGTCGAGCACAATAGACTCAGAACATGTTACAAGTAAGCAATTATAAAAAAATAGAAATAAAAATTAAAATAAACAATATTTTAGAAGCAGTACAGCTTTAGGTAGTCGTGATATGGGAACTGGCTAAACACGAACGTCGTCCAATAATAAATAAAACGTTGCGACATGACGAGAACTCGCCCATAATTTAAAACTTAACATTCAATATTTAATACATTATTTGGCAAACAAGACTTCGGCTAATCTGGAAATCTTTGAGGGAGGCCAATGTTCAGCAGTGTCTTCCGGTTGATATAATGATGAAGATGATGAAACAGACTTCAACTATGAAAGAGATTTATATACCACGTTCACCCATAAATGAGTTGGCTAGTCGGTAGATGATGATATAATAGTAGAAACTTACTTTTAACCGACTTCAAAAAAGGAGGAGGTTCTCAATTCGTCTGTATGTTCTTTTTTTCTGTATGTTGCTGTAAAGTGCCTCTGTGGCCGAACGGTTACCATGCCGGACTGCCACGCAGAGGTCCCAGGTTCGATTCCAGGGCCGGGAGAAATGTTTGTATGGCTTACATTTATTTCTCTCGTGAGTTTGGGTGTAATTTGTGGTTGTCTATGTGTGTGTCCATGGCACCCGCGACACAGGGTTTCCCTAGTGCGGGGCTATGTTGAGTGTGTGAGTTATTTATATTATTATATTATATTTATGTATGTTACGCGATAACTCCGGTATTTTTGAACCGGTTTTCATGATTTTTTTTTGTTGGAAAGGGGGTACTTCCATACTGGTCCCATTTCATTTTGAAGATAATCATGCACCTCGAAGGGTGGCTGTTCACGCATGAAGATTCATTTTTATAAATAGCGCCTGACTTTAATTTAGGAGCAATTACTTTAATGGTTGATTTCGCTTTTTCTCCAATTCAAGGCGTTTTTCTCTCAATATACTTTGAGTAGTGAGAACCGATTTTTATTATCTCCAGTGTCAAGTCCTGTTTAGTTGCGAACTAGGGGATATTTCAATAAAACTTAGCAAATAGACGCAATTGCACTTACTTTTGAGGTCGGTTTTTTTAGTACTCTGTACTGAGATTATTATCGTTTAAAGTTAAAGGATTTGCCAATCGGCGTAAAGTACGTTGATTATTGCTCGGAGTGCACCAGGCGTACACGAAAGGAATGGCACGTCGTACAGGGAGGCTGCTTTCGTGGACATCAATTTAGAGAAACTTATTTATATACGTTGCGAAAAAAGCAGTGTGGTATTTACGTAATCGAAATTTTAACAAAATTGCTATATGAACATATTATCTGGAATTATTAATACAAAGATCGAACACTTAGAGAAAAATCGTTCGATCCGGCCGGATTCGAACCGACGTCTTCTAGCATACCATACCAGACGCTAGATCAACTAAGCAACGGAACGAACCAGAGGATCTCACGAATTTTCTGCGTGCTTTTGTAGTCGTGTCTTTGTATTTGGTTTTTCAACGACTTTTTAGCGGTAGCGCCATCTATGAGAAATCTTAAGTATTTCGTCACCCAGAGATACCTTTACAGCCACCAGCCCTGGCTAGAATTGTCGCTATACATTGAATTTAAATTTATTTAATATTTTTGATATTTTATTATATTATAGTATCTGGAATTAGCAAAACGAGATCTACAACTCCCTATAAGCAGTTTTTCTATATCTTATTCAGTTTTAGTTTTATTGTTAACCAAAATCAGCGTAATTGCCATTTTTCAAATAAAAATAAATTTAGATGGCAATATCTCGAAATTCAACAAAACGCAAATGCGTTAATTATGAAAAGGAGGGTCCACTATCTAATGGAATAATTATTTTGATAGCTGATCGAGCGAATAAGCTGATCGAGGAGCTCAGCAGAACTGGTATCGGTTGCCATGTAGGAGGGGTCTGCGTAAATAATATTAGTTACGCAGACGATATGGTTCTGCTGAGTCCCTCGATCGGTGCCATGAGGAGGCTGCTTAGGACTTGCGAACAATACGCGGAGGCTCATGGGCTCAGATACAACTCTACGAAGAGTGAAATGATGGTGGTTAAGGCAGGTAATAAGACCTACTCCACCTTGCCGTCAATCACTCTGGCTGGCACGCCACTTAAAAGAGTAGCCAACTTTAAGTATCTGGGCCACTGGGTCTCTGAAAATCTAAGTGACAACTTAGATCTGGAGAGGGAGCGCAGGGCGCTTTCAGTCCGCTGCAATATGTTGGCTCGCAGGTTTGCAAGGTGTACAAAGGAGGTAAAGACGACGCTTTTTAAAGCATTCTGTCAAACTTTTTACACCTGCAGCCTGTGGGTCAGTTACACGGGGAAGGCATATAGCGCTTTGAGGGTGCAGTATAATAACGCGTTCAGGGTGTTGATGGGGCTGGGGCGGCGGTGTAGCGCCTCCGGCATGTTCTGTGAGGCGGGAGTGGATGGCTTTCATGCAATCATGCGGAAGCGATGCTACTCCATGCTGCAGCGCGTGAGCGCCAGCCCTAACATCATCCTGAACTCGGTTGCGCACCGGTGGGACAGCCCGGTAGTAAAATACTGGCTGCTCCTACACGCACCATACATTAGATTAGATCATAAGAATTACTAACATTAGATAATAAGAATTATGTTTGTATACTAACAAAATATGGATCTTTGGTCTGAAATAAAAATTATTTTATTTTATTTTATTATTTTTTATAGCAGCATTATCTGTCTCTGCAGATTTCGCCTGATAGGTATCACGGTCCTGATGCACTAAAGCATATATTCGCAGTTTCTAGAGGAAACAAATTCTGGAAGGTTAATATAATTTAAACTTCACCCAGTTGGCATATCGTCAAAAGTTCAATACCTATTATTGAAAGTTACGACGTTTTGATTCTATATTGAAATTTCATTCTATGTGCGGCCATCTAGCGGAAATAGCTGAAAGACTATGAGTCGACGAATGTTAACGTTTCCCACAAAGAAGTCGCCCATATTGCAGCGGTATAAGGTTTACTTTCATTTCTCATCACAAAAATCTAATACGATATACACGAAATGGAAAATTTATTAAAATTAAATAACATAAGACTTAACGATGATATGAAACATCCACCATGTTTTTTTCTCTCCAAAATAGCAAAATAAGGCATTTTTTCACGATTTTTGAGTGGCGTGTATGTGGAACTGCGCGTACTGTTGGCACACTTCCGCCCGCCCTCCGTCTCCCCCGACAATTAACAATATACTTCCACAAAATGTCTGTAAGAGGCAGTTATCGTCTTCTATCACTATCGAATGACTATTGCTGTTTGTACAATATCATAAAAATTTACGGCTACTATAAAAGTATAACATGGTAGATGTAATAACGAGCTAATAATTTTAACAACAACTTATTGTTTTCGTTGATAAGCACAAAGATGGTTACTCAGTAGACGTCGTTAACTTGGATTCAGTTGAAAAGCGTATCAAGACGCGTCGAGGCGTAGAGGTGAAGCTGCAAAGCCTTGAACACCGTCGTAAAGTTGCCTGCTTATCGGTATTTTGCAGAACATAGTTTAGTAGCCGTAGAGCTCCTTCTGGAAGAGTTCGTCCAAGGAAGTAGTGACACCTTACAAAGAGCTAATAATTGACGTTGACACTGCATATTTGAAGACATAAAACCAGGACAATATGACAACTATCCTAAATATCAATACAGATAGGGACTACAACATTACTTTATAGACAAATTATTATTTTTTTTGGTTTGTTCTCAAATTTACCAAAGAGTTTTACCAAGTGATGGAATGAGTAAGTTCTGCACCTGGTAGTAAGCGACACGCTTACCCGTAATAGCTGCAGTGCTATTCGGAGCTCAAAAATCTGCACTGCCACTGCACCCATTGTATCCTGGCATGTAAAATAAACTTACCCTTCAAAACCGCAACGTGTTACTGCTTGGTGGCAGAAATTAAGAAGCTAGCAGTACTTTTTTGGACAAACTCTTTCCTAAGCTCTATTCTTTATTTAAAATTGCTGTCGAAGCAAACATGAAAAGAAGGTCTGACAATGCTGAGAATGTAATATATTTTTAAAGTTAGAATTTGCGGTTTCTCGACACCGCTTTTATTAATGAAAGCCTTTTCTGTAGGGATAAAAACTATTTGGTTGGAAAGTCACGTCTCAAAGGAGATGTTTCCTTGACAGATATTTATTTAATTTTTTAACTACAGAAGAATGCAAGTAAACATTTTTACTTTGAACATTACTGCCTGTATCCTTTTCACTTGCGTAATCTCGCCACGCATTGGAAGTTGACGTGGGTGTCTCCTTTTTTTCAAGAACGGACATTTCAATGAAACAAAGTAAACCATTTTTCTATATTATTATTGTAAAAATCTTCTAACTAAACAAAACTGCCTGTTTCTTAGTTTCTTGCATAGTTACAATCAGAAAATTATTTTTTAATGGTAAGTAAGTAAGTAACTAAAGCATTTGGGTTATGTGAATCGGAAACAACGACGGTACAACAAATACCCAAACTCGATACAATATAGAAAATTTAGGTTTTTCTACATTAACCCGACCGGTGATCGAACCCGGGACTTCAAAGATGGCGGCACCATGAAAACCGGTGTGCAAGCCACTCGACCTGCATTTTGGTTTTGAAGGATGCTGGTGAAAGGTACAGGTACTTGAGACTTCTCAACTTATGCCTCAAGGCGCGTTTATTCGACAAAAATTGCATCGCGCCCATGCCGCGCGGCCGCCGCCGCGTTGAGGCCACGTGCATGTAATTATCATAGCAAAATACGCTCTATTAGTTTAGCTTTTACGTTTTAACTCAAATGAGTCTCTCGGGCATGCGGGCGAGCTTGGCATGCTATTAATACAACAAAAGTTCCGAAGAATTTAAATATTGTTACCCGGTAAATAGAATTCAGATTCGCTAGTAATGACGTGAAAGCCTGGTAACGTCGCGGTCAACTCGCGGCTACCGCGCGAAAAATTTCGCGTCGTGTAAGGCGATTATCACACTGTACTGCAGCTGCGTTTTTTAACGTTGTACTGAAGTATCTCAGTTTATATGGAAAACACTCGCCGTCGAACATTCTGACAACGCTTCGTTTTACCCGTGCGGAGGGGCGCGGCGAATCGCAGGGTATGGCACACTGCGCTCCGCACTACCGCGCAGATTTTTAGGGTTAATGACATGTTCAGTTTTCTACAATAGATCTCGACGTCGATAAATTTATATTTGCTATTGAAAATCAACCAAATTTATCTTCATATTTTCATAAATCTTTGTAATGAAGTTGAATTTATCCATATATCGATCTGGTTCGTAAAAAGGGATGTAACCAATATCTTCGGTGTCTTTTTATTTGAGTAAACAAAAACCAATTAGACAGTATAACTGCAGCGTCCTGAATGAGTTCTGTATTATTAATCATTCTTGTCAAAGAATGATCTCGGCTACATATACATTCACTACGGCGATCAACTGCGAAGCGAGTACTTTAAGTGTCGCGGGGCCGCTAGACCGCTTTCCCCGCGCAGATCAAACCGCGTGTTGACGCAGATCTGCGTCTCCGCCACCGCGCGTGTGCTTCCGCGTGTGCGATAATCGCCGTACTCGGAGCTCAGGTTGACGAGTGGAGCGGCAATGTCCCCCAGATCTTTGCATTTAAAGCTCTGAGCGATACTATAACTGTTCTGGACAGGATTGTCGCATACCACCAGGCGCACTTCTTCACTTACTTGGTATCAAAACAAAAAAATTTGACACGACGCACCCTTTTTATACTAAGGCCACATCTGCAAAATGATAACTTTTCAGAAGAGAGACTTCAAAGGCTCTACGAATAAAATTAGTCGATGACTTTTTATGATTAAATATGAGAGTTATGCAATTTCATATAGAGATACATAATTTATTTTATGTAGCTCGTATTATTTTGCATCCTGTGGCTTTGTTGTCCTAAGGGCGCCTTCAAACTAAACACTCCAGCGTGCGCCAAGGCTCCGTCAGTCACTCCAGGTTACGCAATAAGTGCCTACCGCTAAATGTATCGCCGTCAGTGCAAGCACAAAGAGAGTGTTGCACGCACATCTGAATAACCTAACGGCACGTTTCGTAAGATACTTATCGCAATGTCACCAGGTGGATGGGTGTAAAATTCATGATTGACAGTGATCATCGACCCATTAATCATCACGGATCTCGTCCAAGAAGAGAGTTTAGGTTTTTCCAAAGACTCTAAACCTTCTTCGACGTGCAGGTTTCATGACAATATTTTCTTCACCGTTAGCGAGAGGTATTCCTAGGAAACTTTCACAAATGATATATAACTTAAAATGTTATAGGTACGGTCAACAGCACATGAGACTACTCATTTCTGTTCAAAAATCGCCTCCAGTGCAATGGAACAAGACACGTTAATTTGTAGCTTGATTGCTGGCATCTATACATGCCGCTTCGGGATTCGAACCGTTGGCCTTTAATTGAGAGGCAACCGTTCTTTTCTCATCGCTTTACTAAATAAATAATGGTAATTTCATATTACTATATTATAAATACCATATTACCTATGTATAATTTCATAATACTAAATAATTGTAATTTCAAAGTCTCAGCCAAGTCTCTTATTTACACCACAACCCTTGTACAACCCTAACGCATTCGCTTCCGCATCGCTGTACACGGCGGGAAACATTATTTTCACCTCTCAGAGCGCGTGCTTGGGTTCCTTTTTCCTCGTAGTGACCGTCTAGTGTCATTAGTCTGATTTAGTAATTTATTATAGCGAAGGTATTTTCGATTTTGTTTGAGAGTGATGTATATCGCGCTGGTATTACAATAGTGTTATAACTCAAAAAACGTGAAATTCAAAATTATACCATTATTGAACGTAAAATTGGATTCTCTACACGTCAATAAAACCGTAGTCAGAATATTGTAAAAATAACTAAAAGATATCTACTTCAAAGGTCAAAACAGTCCTTATTCAAAAATATGAAATAATTTTTTCTCTTTTATTTTTAAATATATTTGGCAAGTAGGAAATTGTAAAAAAAAAAAATAAACTATAACCCATACATACATTTTTTGAGTTGATACACTATTGTATTAACAGTGCACATGTTACGTAGTCACTATTAAGTAATCTGTGACCGCGCGTCTGTATCTCTTCAGCATTTTTAGTTCATTAATTGTGATTGCAAAAGTGGCGCACACATGTCTCATTAGCGCTGCAACTGCGTTTCTAAATATTGTATCAAAATTAGAAGTGGCGCGGCCGCAACGCCACATTGGTGCCACTGTAGCGCTTATAAAAACATCTAGTTTGAAGGCGCCCTAAGGGTACGATATGTATACAGAACACATATGGAAATATTTTTATTGTGAATTGATGATGGTATTCTGAAAAGACATATTTGTTTACTTGCATCTTCGTTCGGTCGCCCTATACTCGAGTGATATTTATAACAATGAAGCGCGCTATAAGCAAACAAAAGACTTTGCCAGCTTCGTTACGAGATCCCATAAATTAATTGTGTCTAATAAACGTCATAAGCTTAGTAAGGGGAAGACATTCCCCGCTTCCTGCCATCTCTAATGGAAAACGTAAAAAG